CACAGGGCAGTGTTTCTGCTAGTGTAAATAATAGCAATGGAGTTCCTTTCAGCTGATGAAATTAAATATACATATAGTTTAGAAGATTACACTCTACACAATGTTACAGAAATTTAAAAGTTTCAAACCAAGAGTTAACAGATGTACAAAAAATAACTGAGAAAATAGTACTTATTGGTAGGTAGCCCATCTAAGTAGCCTTTAAAAACCTACAGGGTAATTTAATTTAAAGTTATTTACCACATGTCTTTTGAGCTTTCCTCATTTTCAGTCTTGTCACCAGTTTTAGTTCTTTCAGCTTTATCTTCATTACATGAACTAGCATTCACTCCTAGAATATATGTTTCATTACTCATCAATCATAAATACAGATTTGAGTTTTTTAATTGCCAGAGTTTCTTTGATTCTGACATCATGTTTACCATTAGAACCACACAGATATATACAATCAAGTTGTAAAAAAATACATTACAGTAATGTCTATAGTTATATTTCACACACATCTATTTAATAAAAGGATTGTAAGAAAAGTTACATAAGCATGCTTATGATAAAATCAGGCATATTATTTCATGAAATTCATGTTTATTCAAATAAATAACATCTCAAAAGTAGAAGATTGTAATTATGATGTCATATATTTTTGTAAGACATTTCAATGTTAACTGGTGATCACATTTAAGTGGTTCATACATCTTGTCTTTCCATAGCAAAGGTTTTTGTGATAATATACTTTATTAGATATTATTTTCATGAAAAACAACACTTTAAGAAAAAACAAAACAAATTAAGTCTTTGTTAAATCTAATCTCTATCTACTTAATGCATGCAAATTTAATATTGCTTTAGCTTGCTTGATTTTCACAAAGTATATAAAAACTCAAAGCACACCTGGATTGTTTTTGGCTGTCCTGAAGTTTTGCGTACAATTTTTAGGTGATTCATACTATAAAAAATAAACAAATTAAATTTATTGAACATATTTTGTTACTAATAAGTTAGAATAAAAAATGCAATGTAATTTTTAAATGAAGTCTATAACGAGTCTGAGTCCTCGTGACTTTACCACATGAATTAAAGTAGATGGTGTCTGAAAAAATCTGGAACCATAGGTGGTTTGCAGATTTTCTTAATTTCAGATACATGATTGATTATGGCTCTGGGAAGATGCTAACTAAATTTAAGGAAACTGGCAGTGTGAATGACACGAATATGCTTCACAGTGTACACAGAGAATAGAAATACCATCTTCAAATTTGTTTTGAATTACAAGGACAATATGTGGAATACATTCTGTGAAGTTCGTTGAAGTGTCTATGGTTCCAGACTTTTCGGACACACTGTATAATATTAGCTATAACTTATATTAATAAAAAAAACAACAAAATGCTTTACCTAAGACTTAGAAATAACAAGTTTCAGTCATATTGTTAATCATACTAATGAAAAAATTGTAACAATGTCTATATTAAAGGCTCCATAAAGGGCTCTGTGATTCTTCAGTTATAGATAGTTAATCTAACCAACCAATGGCAATTTACATATAGATTTAGACACATTATTTCATAATGTAAGTCATTCAAAAGAATTACTGATAATTATGCCATCAGCTTGTATCATATAGTCCAAATCTCTCACTAAAATTTCATGTTTTACACTTGAATATTTCACAAATCTTTAAATACACATATGTTTGTTTCTTATGGCAATTATACTATGCAAGTGGGAAAGATTTCACATCTATTTGTATCATTGATTATCTTCAACTAACAATTCAATTGTATGATTTATTAAACTTCAAATACCTTCATAATTTCGCTAATCAATAAATGTTGCTAACAGCTTATATTATATAATTTTAAACCCTATCTCCTAAATGTCATAATTTAGCCCATTACATTCCAATATACGTACAAATATTCTCAATCAATACAATTAAGCATTACTCTACAAATATATATGTAACACCGTGTAACAACCGCTATCAGAAGAGCTGCTTAAAATCTGCATTAATAATTAATAATAACAGGTAAGCTACAAAAGCTTGTATGAACTATTCATCGTAATTTCGGTATTCATTAATGAATAGTAATAAAAAATACAACCTTTAAATTCATGAACTTCAAACTTGTAAGTGTATGTGTGTGTATGTTAACTATTTTTTGATACTTTAGATCATCATTTGGGTATAACCTTGCTGCTTTACAATGTTTTCAGCCCTTAGTCAGGGCACATCTGATAAGGTTGGGCCTCCTTATTAAAATTAGCAAGCACTGAAACAGAATTGTAACATTTAAAGCTTCACGTACTATTCCTATCACATTTGTCCAATGTAATTATTACTATTTAAGAAATTTAATGTTATATGACATAACATACAGACAACAAAGGATTATTTTTTCCTTCAAAGCTCCCTACACTCCTACCCTTGAGAAAAACAATAACTTAAACCTGCCCTTTACTTTTCAAGAAATCATTGCTTCCTCCTTTAAACTCTTATAATATAAAATGGCAGCCATCAAAACTGTTGACAGTAACTCAATCCATATGCAAGTCACCTTGTTAAAAAAAAGACTTCACTAGAATCTAGCCTGTCTGCTTCAAATCTTAAACTTTGGACTCTTTTTTTTTTTCCTATTATTCAGAATACATCACAAATAAATCAGAGAGCTTTATTCAGTTGATACACTGGATATCTTATAAACTTCATAAAAATCATCTCTTTCCATTCATTTCTTAGGAGAAATAGTTAAATTAAGAGATTTCAAACCTATCTCCATAAGATAGTTATTCCATCCCTAGAATCATCCTAGTAACTATCCTCTGAACCCTTTCCAATAAGTCAATATCCTTTCATAGGTAAAGAAACCAAAAGTATACATAGTATACCTAACTAGTGTGCTGTTGCTAGTGGCAGGGCAAATAGGATTTTAGGTTGTATCTGCAGAAATATTGAATAAAAGTCTAAAGAGGTTATAATGTCATTGTATAGGTCATTGGTTAAGCCACATTTGGAGTATTGTTGGAAAGGGTTCAGAGGAGGGCTACTAGGATGATACTTGGAATGGAAATGTCATCAAACGAGGATAGATTAAGACCTCTGAACTTAGAGTTAACTCTGAGTTAGTGGGGATTTGATTGAGGTGTTTAAGTTTGTTAAGGGAACTGATAGTATTGATGCATCATCTTTTTTTCATATTTAATGGTGAGAATGGTAGTACTAGGGGACACAAATATAAATTTTGGCAATGAAGATGTCACCTTCAGTTAAGACAGTTTTATTTTTTAACTGGTTGGTTGGAATGGGTTACCTTCATATGTGTGGTGCTTACAGTTAATTTAAGGGAGTTTAAGAGAAAGCTTGATAAATATTTGAATGATAAAAGTTGATTTTGAGGTGGGTTAGTTTAATTTAGTGAATATGACAGCCTAGATGGACCAAAAGGTTTCTTGTTCAAGTTGTTGTTCTTTAATGTTATGTTATAAATACACCCTAATTAATGTTATTAGTTTTGCTACTAGGAGCAAAGCCCTGCATTGATGGCTTGAGTATTATCTTGATGCCAAGTATTATCTAGAAAGTTTTCTATGATCAGTCTTGATAATTATTAAATAATATTTTAAACTATTAAACATATAACACAGCATCACAACAATAAAAGCACGATCTAATTTTGATACCCTGATACCTTTCTTTTACTCATAATGAGAAATAAGAAACTATTATTATTTTTAACTTTCTGAAATTCGAAAACAAAGAATCAAACCACTTTAAATTTCTACATATGTACAATAGATGGGCATTTAAGTTTTCTTAAATCACACATGCTGATCTGCTTCTGATACTTCGGGCAATACCAAGTTAAATTATTGCCCTGAGTGTCTACGTGAAATCATCCCCCCCCTAAAAAAAAGAAAGTTACACTGAGTGTGACTTCTTAATGTTTGCACTAACGTAGGTAGACTAAACCAAAGATGATTAGCAACATGCGTACCTGGTCAGCAGAGACAGTCCTTCTTAAGGACAGGGTTCTTGACAAATTTGTACCTGAAGTTGTTCGTTTTCGACTAGTAGAAGTGGCACAATCTTTGACATATTTACCGCTACTAGTACTAGACTTAAACTTTCGAATTTTCGGTCTAAGATGTGGTCTAATCTGGCACAAACCTAGCCGAGAACCACATAGTATCAAATCAGCCTCAGAACAACTTTTTATCTGAGTTAGGCAAGATATTTGATTTTCATTCATTTAATAAATTAAGGAATATTTTAACTTATAACATGTCTTACAATCTTAACAAGATAGGGAAATATGCTTTTGTCACTCACTAACCCTAAAACTTGTATAAACAAAATATTTAATAAACAAATACGCTTTAGTTAGGGTTATTGAAGTGCACTTTGACAGTGTTAGCGTCATGCCGTTGTCCTGACAACATTTTAATATATTTAATAACCATATTTTTGGATACTTATTTCATAAAAGCTATTTTGTTATTCATAAATGTTTATTAGTATTATTTTCTTACATTACTTATTAAATTTTAAGATAATAATATATCTGTTAGTTTCAGAAATTGAATAATTATTTAATTGTTGTTGTATTTTAGCGCAGAGTTACACAATGGGATATCTGCGCTTTATCCACCGCAGGAAAATTGAACCCCTGATTTTAGTCTTGCAAGTCCGTAAACCAAGATGTCCAGAGCCTAATATTAAATGGTATTATTCTCTGTTATCAGATATTTCAGATAGAAGAATCTAAAACGGCAGCCGTAGTCGTGGTGCAATGGTTCAATTGCCAACGCTATAGACATATTTCCGTGGACTCTAAATCTCTCCACGTTGTGACTGATGTGGCGAAGATCACTCCAATGCCAGAAAGAACAACAGAATCCATACTGCTGTAATTGTACGCAACAACATACAACAAACTCTAAATACAAAGAGATTAATACAAGAATCTATAACATATATCATAATAACCAATTCACATGAACAAATACACAACACACAGATACAAACCACACTCAACAAATACCTACAAAAATACCACTCCTCCAGGCATCAACGACACAGCCAGCACGTACATATGCTGCAGCACTTCGTACTGCTAGAAGTCACATTCCAGACATGAGTGTCAGCAATAATGGTGATCTTGTACGAAGGATTGTTTGTTTGTTTTGAATTT